CTAAAAATGATACAATTGTGTTACTCCGAATTGCCACTGTTTGAAAGTGAAAGTAAAATGCGCACACAGCTTTTACAAGCTATTTAAAAGCGAAGGAAAGCGAGACAAAGAGGGAACGCCCCGCCCCCGTGGTGATACCATTATTACCGGTGTTGTCACACGTCGATTAACCGGTGGGAAAATGTCCTCACCGTCACAACCCTACTTGATACTTGAATTTAGGGTTGCATGGGGCTTTTAGTATAATGGAGATACTTTACATTTTTGTATACATTTTTTGTATTAGTTTTTGTATTTACATTTTCTGTTATTATTTTAGTTCTAATTTTAGTATTTTTGTCGTGAGTTTTTCTTTATAGTTTTTAATTTTTATTTTGCAGTTTTGGTTATTTTAGTACATCAGGTTAAACTATATGAAAATGAGAAATCTTGCCTTGGCAACTGGACAGTGTTTTTTTTTTTGTATATTTTATTTGATCTCAGTTTCTCAAGTCCCAAGTTTATTTTCATTTTATTATAAGTATAATATTCAAAGCATTTTTTTGTTATAAGTTTTATTTTCTTTAATTTCTTTATGGATTTGGTTTTAGTTTTAATTAAATTTAATTACCCCATGCACGGTTTGAACAAGAATATCTAATAAGAATTGATTGTGGGACTGCACCATTTGACAATAAATTGTATGATTATATATGTAATATTATTATGAATTATGTTTATGATTATTGTTATTATTAAATATAAAAATATTAAATACAAAATAAGTAATATTACCCTTGTAATATTTCACTGTAAAATTAAAAATGGAGTATTTAAAATATAATATTTCTTATATACAATAAGAAATACATAAGAAATACAAAATAATAATAATAATTTAATAATTTTTTAACTGTAAAATTACAATACTAATATTTATGTCTGTCTTAATTTCTTAATTTTAATTTTTTTCATTTGTTGATAAGCGCTTCTCATTACAAGTTTGGGAAGATGGTTGGTTCGTGTTGCGTTTCTAAATGCATATTAAAGTGACTCAAGCTCAGAAGCGGATGCAGAGATGGAGATCATTTTGGTTTTATTTCGACTGATTGTGCAGCTCTACTTGATTGACAGAAATGTTCACGCTGGTCTTTTATTTGGTATTATCGATTTCACATTTACTTATCTGTAAATAGAGATGCACCGATTGCAATTTTCTTGTCCAATTCCGATTTTTTATTTATTTTTGTTTTTTTGGAAGTGTGACCTGCTGATACTGATTTTTGCTGATTCTGATTTTCTTTCTAAGAACTATAATTGACAGCAAATACAAACAAAACAGATGTCCTTTCCCATGTTTATAAATGGTAATTTTTTCCCCCTAACCTTATTAAATGTCATCTTTCACATCAAAGTCTTACATTGTTTCAATTAATTCAGTTAGAATAATAAGAAACTGTAGAGTTGTTAACATTCAAATGAAATCAGTATCAACAAACACAGAAGCTGCATCTGAAGTGGCATTAGATGTATTTACACAGACTGTTTGATGAAGCTGAGATGCCGCAAATGCATTTACAAAAAATTGCAAATGTTTAAATAATTTTATAAGATTAATGTTTTAAATAATTTTTTGAACATACAAAGAAATGTTGGGAAAAATGCAATGATACTTTCAAATATGAAACCAAACCACCAGTATGTGGTAGCAAATGAATGAGTGAGTCATTTAGTCGTTCATTTAACTGATTCATTCAAACAGCTGATTCATTCAGAAATGAGGCAAGTGACTGTCTTTATGAATGGGCCACTGAATCATTGACTCACTCGATTCGTTCAAAAACGTGGATTCATTCAGTAACGAAACGCCGCTGTGTTACTCGGAGACACACAACAGTTCTGCTGTGGCTTTGATTTGAACGATTTTCATTTGTGAAATTGAGCAAAAAACAGTCAATATTGTGTCTAAAATGTAAGTAACTTAATTTTAACTTGTTGTTTATTGAACTACTATTGTATAAAATCAGTGTCACACTGCAATCGTGCTGATATTCGCTGGAAACTTCTTGGTCGTGTAATGTTGCTTACCTATAGCATATATTATAAATATCATTTTTTTCTACCGCAGTATGCAGTTTCTTTGTGTGCTGTTGCGCTGGTTTGTTTTGTCTCTCTCTCAGACAGGCTGCATGAGCCTCATCTGGCACGATATAAACACATTATCAGTCTCCGTTTTACACTGAATGCAATAAAATCAGAATCATTCTTGCGCAAAAAGTTTTGGTGGCCAAGTTTCAGTGCTTCCCTAGTTATTTTTGTTATTGACGTTTTAATCAGGCTTCTTGTCCGGTCAGGCAAGTGAAATTCTCTCTAACTTGCCCCTTTAAAAAATGGGTCACCAATCATGAGGAAAATCGGCTAATTCCGGTCCCTGGCCGGTCGATCGGTGCATCCTTAACCATAAGCGTGGTTGTCAGTCAGACGTTTTTCTTTAGTGGGCGGTTCCTGTCTAGAATGAGCTGCTAAGTGGACCAGATTTTATGGCTATAATCAGAAGTGTGGTTCTGCGAGACTGTCTGCGACCTGTCTGTTTGTGATTGATAACACCTGTGTTCCTGAACTCTCTATGAGGAAACCACTGCTCTCCAAAAACTATTACTACGATGAGTGTGAGGCGACCGTGAGTCAAGTGGAGGCGTTTCCTCCCTTCCGGTGCCAACACACAGTCTCCTTCCAACTGTGAATCATGGTGGAGGGAATAGATGTTGTTGGTGTGCTGGAGCGCCTCAGGGCCTCGACTGCTCGCCGTCACTGCGGACTAATGAATTCCAAACCGCATCAGGAAACTCTGCCGCAGAGTGAGTGTGTGTTTCTGTGAACTCCGATTCAAAGGAAGTTGAGTAAGTCCAAAACAACTGAAGACAGTCCTGACCTCACTACCATTGAAATGTAGCACTGATATCGGGTAAAGGCAAGGAGACGAGACTTCTTGAGATTATGGGATATCAACATCATTAATACAATTATTTCACTATGGTTTATTGCTTTTTTGAAATGGCAGCAACATCAATGTAATTAAAGACATTCAATAAATGGAATTTATTAATAATAATTGGAATAAACGGTAGTAATATAGTTTAGTAGATTGTAAAAATGATTTTTGATTGTTTGAGTAGGTTTTACAAGAAAATAGTACTTTTCAAGTTTACCTGCTGTTTCTTTATTTAATTATTTGTTAAATGTACTAGCAATTT